AAAGTTTTCAAAAATATCCTTTCGTTCGGTCACAAAAAATTAATTAAGAACATTTAAACTGAGCATCGTGTAGGCCTAGGATGATATTTACTACTTTTTAAAACTGAGCATCTTGTAGGCCTACTCGTTAAATAAAACTATTTCCGTTGATATCGGTTAATATAGTTGTCTTTTTTTTACCTATTAATTCAAACGTTATTTTTGTACCCTATTAATTTATTTATAATTTATATGAGAGTGATAGGGAGTTACAATTACAAGGTTTTGTTTCGCTAGGCCTAATCATTTTTTCACATTTTAAAAAAAATTAATTAAGGAAATTCCGCTTAAATTGTCACTAGACTTTTTATTAACTTGTTTTATTTGTGATTTAATTTAACAGTAGTGTCTACAAGTTTGATCTTATTGTGAATAGGAGATTCCAAATAATTCTGTTTCGTCCGTAATACTCAATGTTACTCTGAGGTAATGAGAATAGATAAACTCAATGTTACTCTGGGGTAATGAGAATAGATAAACTCAATGTATTTCTGAGGTAACGAGTATATATATTTACAGATTTTAAAACATTTTTTTTTCTTTTCTGAGCTCAAAGAGGAAATAATGTTTTATGGAAGCTTGGATTAATTGCGGAAGTTTGGTGTATTTATGAGAGATTGTTAAGCCTGTATGTATATTGAGCAGTGATGATCAATGTTTGAGTCAACCACGGCTGACACGAACGTCTGGAGTTTGGGTCCCGGGTTTGAGTCTGCAAGACGACCCTTAGTCTGCTCAGCTCTGATTGGTACCTGTGTCACGTCGCATAAAATCGGCTTGGCATAGTGCTGACCACACTATCCCTCATTAGCCTAAATCACAGAAAAAGGTGAATTCTATTTTACCTGTCCCATGGACCATCAAGTTCGATATGGTAGCTTACTTTTTTTTTTACCGAGCAATCTGATACTGCTACTGAAATATCAAAAATAATATAAAAAATAATATAAATGATGGTAGTTTTAGTTATGGACTTAGTCTATGTTAAAAGAAATATGTGGAAATAAAACACATATAAAGACAAATCAACAAAATAACATCATGCACATAAAAACAAAGTCCACATTTTATAAGTGTATATAACACGAATGATCATTGCTGCAAACTTAATTCTTTCAGATTTGTGCACACAATGAACAGAAAGAAGTTTTGTATCCAGATCGTAAAGGGTCTTGAGGATGTGTGGAGTGAAAACATTTTATTCGACTTCGCTGTGAAAGTTCAGGATGAAACCATCCAATGTCATCGTCTCATCCTAGCGGCGTGTTCAGAATTTTTCAAAGCGCTGTTTAGGTCTGGCATGAAGGAGGCTACTGAAAACTGCATGGTTCTTAAAGACGTTTCGAGTGAAGTGTTTCGGCTAATTTTAAACTCCATATACACTGGAAAAAGTCTGATAACTCTAGATAACTTTATCGAAGTTTGGCGAGCAGCACACATGCTGCAGGTAAACGTTCTAGTAAAATTCTGTGAGGAGTTTGCTATTGAAACATGTTCATTGGACACCTGGGAAAATATTTATCTACATGCAGAACTTTTGTGTTCAGAAAAAGTTCTCGATCATCTCCGTAAGTTTATGTTAAATAACTTTGAACAGATTAGATGTTCAAAAACATTTCTAGAACTTTCTTTCGCAGAATTTCAAAATTTGATTAAAAGCCAAGATCTTGTCGTCACCAAAGAAGATTTAGTTCTTGAGTCCGTGATTAATTGGATAAATTATGTACCTACAAGTCAGATAAACGTGTACACATGTTTGAACGATAATCCTGATTTTTCAATCAGAAATAATCATTTGACACTTGAAAATGTTATCTCCAGTGGAGATATGAACGAGTCTGACCCAAAAGTGGATAACCCTGTTTACGAACAGAACCAAAACGATGATCTTATTGAAACAAATCGTGAACAAGTTGAATTACTCACTGCTCAATCAGCTGATTTGATGAAGTGTGTAAATTCTTCTAGAAAAAGCGTTCTACCAGAGCTGCTGAAACTAGTGAGGACGTGTCTTGTAAGTCATGCTTGCTTATCTCGAGTTCTCAAGATGAAAATATTTTTGGAAAATGAAGATTCGAGAGAAATAATAGTCGACGCCATGTCATATCATGTCCAAAATTTTAGACACGGTCAGTGGCCATCAGCGGCTATACACAGAACCTGTAGCGAGTTTATAAATGCTGGAGTTTATGCATACGGGAAAGGAAATTTTGAATTAATAGGCGACTGGCAAGACCAGCTTAATATCGAAAGATGTGAATATTTACAAAAATATATCCAGCTTGTCACTTTTGACGGTGAACTTTTTGCGACAGGAAAACAAAGTAGACGACACAGCGAACCTTGTCGAATGTTTGTTTTTTGTGACAATGGTTGGAAGAAAGTGATGAGAATGCCAGGTCACAATTTGTTATTAGTGTCACATGGAGACTTCATCATCATCATCAACCAAGACGATAATTATATATACAACATGAGACCAAAACATAGAAACCCTTACTTGGATACTTTGACTGTATTTCCGGAAGACACCAGTGTTGAACATGCAATGGTTATAGAAGATTTTCTGTTATTATTTTGCTCTGAAACTCACAACGGCATTGACGAGACTGCCGTGTATAAATTTGATATTCTGTCTAAAGTTTGGACGAGATTAGACAATCTTGATGGACCGGCAGAACATCTGATTAGTTTCAAGAGGGACAAACACAACTACATTTTACAGAAAAACGGAAGTTTGTGGCTGGTAAATTCATTGAACGATGAAAATGTTCAGTTTGAATTTCTCGCTAGACTTTTTCAGTTTGAACAAAAGCTGCTCGGCGCGGTAACTTATGACCGTAAGCTTGTAATTTTAGGTAACAGCACTGATGATGACACGCCCGGGGAGAACAGTTTAACACAGATCCCGGATCACTTTACAGAGATCACATACTGGAGCAACCGTTCCAGATGTTCAAACTTTATCCCTATCGTTATTAAAACGAATGCCTTAGTTGAGTACATAAACTTTGGCTAAGCCAATTCATTTTGTACAAGCTAGGTTTAAATTGCCACATTTAAAAAAAAAGTTTTATTTAAATTGAAACATTTAAACAAAAAGTTTTAAAGTATATTTTAAAACAACCTACAATTCAGAAACTATTTTTAGATTAGTTGAAAAATTAACACATTTATTATGAAACACTGTCTTAGTATCCCTTTGAGAGGTAAAACTAAATTTCATGAAGGAATATCTTTCTAACCCCATTCCATAAACACAAAAATAAATTACAAAATGAATTACTAGCTTATTCTCACTTTTATCGTTGTGTAAAACAATGTTCGTGTAGTGTCACACTATACTTTAACTCCAACTAATCAGTCGTTTGTACTTAATTTAATTATTTTTTATATCAGCTTATTCGTAAAACTTGTATCGGTAAGTTATTGAATTCATTCACGACGTCAAGGGATTCCGAATGAATGATAGTTGTCTTTATAAGATATATACCGATAATAATGAAATGAACATATGTTTGTATACATGTTTCAAAAGAAAAATTCAAAGCGACAACATATGCACTACATTTATCGGCGTATGTTTTTATATTATAATATTTTATTTTATATCTGTTGGTTTATACTTTTGTTAAATTACATTAACATACATAAAAAATAAATATACTGAATTAAAAATTTATATTAAAATATCACCACGGTCTTTTCTTTTAAATACACTATTTTTTAAAATAAAGTTTTAATTTATTTTCCTAGAAGGGATGGGAACTGGAGGCGGCTTAATGCGTATAGTTCAGGTGTTGCCTGTTTGGTATATTTCAGGTGTTGCCTCTTTTGGTATATTTCAGGTGTTGCCTGTTTGGTATATTTCAGGTGTTGCCAGTTTGGTATATTTTAGTTGTTGCCTGTTTGGTATATTTTAGGTGTTGCCTGTTTGGTATATTTCAGGTGTTTCCTGTTTGTTATATTTCAAGTGCTGCCCGTTTGGTATATTTCAGGTGTTGCCTGTTTGGTATTTTTCAGGTGTTGCCTGTTTGGTATATTTCAGGTGTTGCCTGTTTGGTATATTTCAGGTGTTGCCTGTTTGGTATATTTCAGGTGTTGCCTGTTTGGTATATTTTAGTTGTTGCCTATTTGGTATATTTCAGGTGTTGCCAGTGTGGTATATAAAAGGTGTTGCCTGTTTGGTATATTTCAGGTGTTGCCTGTTTGTTATATTTCAGGTGTTGCCTGTTTGGTATATTTCAGGTCTTGCCTGTTTGGTATATTTCAGATGTTGCCTGTTTGGTATATTTCAAGTTTTGCCTGTTTGGTATATTTTAGGTGTTGCCTGTTTGGTATATTTCAGGTGTTGCCTGTTTGTTATATTTCAGGTGTTGCCTGTTTGGTATATTTCAGATGTTGCCTGTTTGGTATATTTCAGATGTTGTCTGTTTGGTATATTTCAGGTGTTGCTTGTTTGGTATATTTCAGATGTTGCCTGTTTGGTATAGTTCAGGTGTATTTTATGTAATTTTAGTTTATGTAGTTTTAGTTGTGTAATTTTAGTTTATGTTATTTTGGTTTGTGTAGTTTTAGTTTATGTAACTTTATTTTATGTAATTTAAGTTTATGTAACTTTTTAAATTGTAATTTTAGTTTATGTAGTTTTAGTTGTGTAATTTTAGTTTATGTTATTTTGGTTTGTGTAATTTTAGTTTATGTAACTTTATTTTATGTAATTTAAGTTTATGTAACTTTTTAAAATGAAATTTTAGTTTGAGTAGTTTTAGATACAATAGTTTTTGTGTAGCAAACAGACAGTTTACCAAAAGAAATTGGGCTGTTTAGTTTAAATATTTTGTTTACTTTGAATTGTTGCGCACCGTATTATTACATCTACCAATGTTTTTGTTGCACTAAAGAAGTGTGTGTGCTTTAGCATTGAACACGAATGGTTTCCTCCAACCTTGAAGCTTTAAGAAACTGTAACTACCAGAATAGACATTTCGTTTAAATATATGTGGTAAACTATGGCCTACAGCTAAGGTAAAAGTAAGGCCTAGAGCTAAGGTAAAAGTAAGGCCTAGAGCTAAGGTAAAAATAAGAAGTAGAGCTAAGGTAAAAGTAAGGCCCTTGAGCTAAGTTAAAATTTAAGGCCTTGAGCTAGCCGGGTTCTCTTTAACAGCAGCTAAATTTGTGTGTGTCAAAGGCAAAGAGGTAAAAACATAAAATTACAATTTTACGTTTAGACGGGCGATATAAACGAATTATTCTAAGACATAAATAAACATTGTATGTCGGGTTATTATGGCGATGACGTATTGAAAAAGCTAGTTGCAAGAAAATAGAAACACAAATCTTCTGTGAAACATAAGCTCATAATGAACGCGGTGTTTATTCTATGGTTGTTAGATGAAAAGCCAAGTCCAGTAGCCGGTTTATTGTTATAAGTGAGCTATTATAGTGGAACAGTATGGTCGAATGGTAGACGGTCCGACTACTAACTAAAAAAGTTTCATGTTCGGATCCAGGGCTTGAGTCCACACGGGAAAGTAAAAGCGGCCGGGCATAGTGCTGACCACCTTATACCTGCATATGCTGAAAACACATAAACTCTACTTCAGCTACTCCATAGAGCTTTAGTTTCTGAAGGGTATTTTACTTTTAGTGCTGTGCCAGCGACCATCATAGAGTTGTAGCGGAAAGGTAACCGACGCTAAGCGTGGGCAAAAAAACAGACTAGTTATAGAAATTCAGAATTTACGAAGGCGATTTTCTGTCAATATAAATCCATCCATTGATGCTTAATAATAGGCCATCAAGGAATAAAATAATTTCAAAAGGGTGGCTACATTTTAAGAAACGTTCATGATCTGATAGGCCTTTTTTATTTAACTCCAATACCAGACTTCATTTACCTCATATATTTTACAAAGTTTATTTTACTATTAATTAATTTCCTTAATGATTGCCATTTAGCCTAAATTCTAATGGTGTTCTATTGCTGATGGTATCTGAAACTTGAATTTTAAAATTTAAAATCTAAGTACAATACAATCATATACAAGACAATGTAAGTTATAAGTAGGTTGACGTCCTAACTCTCATTGTTATTTTTTACCTTAGATGACGAATTTGGTAATTATTCACTGCAGTGGCGTCACTAGGTCGTGTGTCACCCGGTGCGGCACCTCATGGTGTCACCCTCCCCCCCCCCCCCTCCAAAAAAAAAATTATATATATATATATATATATATATATATATATATATATATATATATATATATATATATATATATATATATAGTTGCTATTTGTGTCATCCTTTCACATTTTGCATAATGGCGTCAATTGGTGCATAAATTTGTGGAAAAAGCATCTTTTTCATCCTAATTTAATAGATTTTGTCATCATCCCCTTCCCGGTTGATTAAATTATCAATTATCCAAAATACTCTACAAAACCTTTTTTTCTCCGTAAATTTTGCAGTCCCCCCCCCCCCGTGATAGTTTAAAGTGTGCACAGTTAGTATTAAATATGGTTATTTACAGTCAGTTATTGATACTGGTAGATTAACGAATTAATCATTGACTGAACTGAGTAAAAGCATATTTCGTCTATATATTCTGCAATGTTTCGCCATAGTGTCACCCCCCCCCCTCAATCGTGTCACCCTGTGTGATCCGCACCCCCCCCCCCCCCCCCCGCACCCACCTCGCGACGCCTCTGATTCACTGAATAACTTAAGATGTCTTAAAATTCACGTTTCATCATCTCAGTGTTGTTTTGGAAGTTAACAATAATCTAAAGATTTGCTAAAATAAACTTTTCAGATTTGTCTACACCATGAACAGAGCAGAGTTGTGTGTCCAGTTAGTGAAAGGTCTGGAGAATGTGTGGAACGAGAACATTTTATTTGACTTCGCTGTGAAAGTTCAGGATAAAATCATCGAATGTCATCGACTCATCCTAGCGGCGTGTTCAGAATTTTTTAGGGCGCTGTTCAGGTCTGGTATGAAAGAAGTCACAGAAAACTGTGTTGTGCTAAAAGATGTTTCATGTGAAGTTTTCAGCCTAATTTTGAATTTCTTATACACAGGAACAAGTCTGTTAACTTTAGACAATTTCATTGATGTGTGGAGAGCTGCTCATATGCTACAAATTGACCTCATGATACATGTTTGTGAGCAGTTCGCTATTGAATCTCTTTCAACACACACATGGGAAAATATTTATGAAAATGCAAATCTGTTTGGTTCAGCGAATATTCTTGTAGAGCTTCACTCGTTCTTGTTAAAAAACTTTGAACAATGTAGATATTCAGAAACATTTCTACAACTGTCGTTTGAGGAAGTCAAGGACTTGATTAAAAGCCAGGATCTTGTAGTAAGCAAAGAGGACTCTGTCCTTGAATTTCTCATTAAATGGATTAATTATAAACCTACAAGTAATATAAACATCCACGAGTCTTCAACAAAAAATAATGAACGTACGATCAGAAATAACGATTTGAAACCTAAAATTGCTTTCCCAAGTGTAGATGAAAACAAATTAGAAAATAGAGCCAATAATACTAAACATGGCCCAAGCAATATTAAAGAAGCTTCTAAAACTTCTAGAATAAAAATGACTGAAGATAGTGAAGATATATTGCTCGAGCCTATTTTAAAATCTTGTTCAAAAAATAATTTTACTGAATTACTGAAGCTAGTTAGGACATACCTTGTAAGTAAATTTGGTGTGTTTCGTGTTATGAAAAAGAAACTATTATCTGAAGTAGAAATAAAAATAGAAGAAGAAGATTCAAGTGACATATTTTTCGACAGTTTTGATTATATAAACCTCGATAGTTGCCTCAGTGAAGAAGAAATCGAATTTAAAGAAAGATGCGATAATCTAAAACACGATTCAATCAAAGTAGCAGATGCTTGCAATTCTGTCAGAAGTAATACGAGCTTCCCGAATACTGATCAGTTGCAAGATTCTGTAAACATAGTAAACTCGTCTAGAGAGGATCGACTAATAGAATTGTTGAAGCTAGTCAGGACGTGCCTTGTAAGTCCTGTTGTGTTGTCTCGAGTATTAAAGATGGAACTGTTTACTGAAAATAACGATGCAAGAGAAATACTTATCGATTCTTTACTATACTACTTCCTAGATTGGAGACACGGTCATTGGCCATCGACAGCCATACACCGCTCTTGTAGTGAGTACACACATGCTGGCGTATGTGCCGTAAGTGGGGGGTTGTTTGAATTTAAATGTGCCCGCACAGAAAAAGTCTTAGCGATTAACGTGTGTATTTATTTACGAAAATTTATTCAGCTCGTCACTTTTGAAAATGAACTTTTTGCGATAGGAAAATTTTGCGTCCAACCAAACGAACCTTGCCGAATGTTTGTGTTTAGGGAAAAGAGCTGGAAGGAAGTGATGGAACTGCCAAGTCACAATTTGTTGTTGGTGTCACATGGGGACTTTATCTACGTCTTAAACAAAGACGATGGGTTTATATACATGATGAATCCCAAAAGTGGAAACCCCAGTTTAGAGGCATTGACTGCGCTCCCAGAATACGTCAATGCTACACATTCCATGGTTATAGAAGATATTCTTTTACTGTTTTGTTCGAAAATCACAAAAGGCATTGACGAGACTGTCGTTTACGCAATGGACTTTTCATCCAAAATGTGGACCAGATTAAACACTCTTGATGGACCAGCTGAACAGCTGATTAGTTTCAGGAATGATCAACACAACTACGTTTTACAAAGAAATGGCATCTTGTGGCTGATTGTAAACACATCTAGCTCTTGGAATGTTCAGTTTAAATTTCTCGCTAAACTTTGGCAGTTTGAAAAGAATTTGTGCGGTGCGTTCACTTATGAATCAAAACTTATTATTATGAAGAACCGTGTTTATAAGAAATGTAAGAAACATATTCCGGACCACTTTGAAACCATTTCGTACTGGGGAAAATATGGAATTTCTTCAAACTTTGTTCCCATCACTGTACTTAAGTCGCCTGAACTGCTCGAAAATTAAATATTTTCGTTTTGATTTTAAAAACAATTTTGCTCGTAAGTTTGATCTTTTTCTTTAAGCATAAAAAGCACTAAAACGTTCCTTGATAAAAAAAAGTAAGTTTAAAAATATAGTATTATTCAAAATATTTTCAATACTCGTTCTTTCTTTTACAGTTACAGTTGTGTAGAAAAAATTCCAGATTTCGCTGATGTAGTTCTTTTAAATATGAGCTTATTCTCAATCATTGTATTTCTATCACATTAGTTAGATGTTTTTATTTTTTATTATCAGTTTATCAATTTATCAGTATTGTTTTACACGTTGAGATGAAAGGGAAAACAATAGGCCATGATATTTTTAAATACTCAGCTAAAGCTGGTTACAACTAATTTACAGCCAAAACATATATAATCTAGTCGCATTGAAATATATCACTCTAGGTTAGTAATGATTGATTAATTGATTTGCTTAATGCATACGGATAAAATACAATATTTTGTTTCTTTAATACCTTGATTATCGTAAATATTAGATTATTACTTGTACTATTATTTTATAGAAGTGTATTTTTACAAGCTCTAAAGGTACTTTAAACAATTCAATAAATGCAGGTCATTTAATGATTCAATATTGTCACTATCCGATCAATTTCTAAATGAATATTTTGCAGAAATGTAACTGACGTTTTGATTTCATTGATAACTTGTACGGAACATCGAAATTGCTTCCTTTATACTGCTCATAATGTTATCATACATTTACACTTTAAAATGTATATCAACTTTTTTTAAAACTCAAGTACGAATCGAAGAAATTAAATCTAAGTGTAGTCTAAGTAAAAATAAAAATTGTTAACATAATGCTTCTTTCGTATTCACACTGAAGTAGATTAGAGATTATTACTTTTACCTCAAACGACATTTCTTTCTCTTACTGTTATATAACTATATGCTTATCATTAAAATGAGTTATATATATATATATATATATATATATATATATATATATATATATATATATATATATATATATATATATGTATGTATATATATATATATATATATATATATATATATATATATATATATAGGTCTACATACATATACATATTATAAATATATATATTTATTTAAATATACATGTATATATGTATGTATAAAATACTAACCCAAACAAAAACATCACCTGTGAAACAGAATACTAAAACTCTATTTAGTAAAGGAAGAATTTTTTTTTAAATTTATTTTCTTGGCATTTTCCAGGCTTTTATTATTAGGGTTTTCCTATAGTTCATTTTCTTCTATTTAGAAACACAACTCACCTCAGTTATTATCACGGCTGATGTAGTTGAGAATATTAGTGACAGTATTACAAATTGGTATCTTCCCGTTAGTTTTCGAATATTATATTTTTTAACTCAATTTTCAATGATGAATTTAATATTTATTTACAGTAGAAATTAAATGTTCTTACGTCGTCATTGTAAAGGGATATTTCCAAAAAATATATCGTTGAATTAGAAAGAAGTTACGAGATTTGTTTAAGTTGTTGCACTAAAGAAGCACGTTTAAGACAGGCAATTATTGGTTTCATACACAATCTTTAATATACTTGAGAACCTTCTAGTTATTACTGAGTTAAGTAAGAATTTAAACTTATTCAACAAATAAAATATTGTACTGATAAAGTTTATGTAACTATTGTGGATTGTCTTTCAATCTATGCAACTTGTCGATCTCTACATTTAACAAAACAGTGTTTCTTCCAGATTTTTTTCTCCGGTGGGAGGGGGGGATGTGAAATTTTCGTGGATACTGTGAAAAGTATACATTTTTATATAAATTCCGTTTCAATCGGGGGGGGGGGGGGGGCGGTAGACTCTCTTTGGGAGGCATATCCCTGAGAGATGCCTGGAAGAAACACTGCAAGCAAAACCCTGTTAGCCTGGCAATGTTCACTGGATTATTTTAGCCACGGCCTTGGATTAAGTCTCAAACCATATGTACAATATTGCTGTCTCAATCCATATGTACAATATTGCCATCTCAAACCATATGTACAATATTGCCGTCTCAATCCATATGTACAATATTGCCGTCTCAATCCATATGTACAATATTGCCGTCTCAATCTATATGTACAATATTGCCGTCTCAATCCATATGTACAATATTGCCGTCTCAATCCATATGTACAATATTGCCGTCTCAATCCATATGTACAATATTGCCGTCTCAATCCATATGTACAATATTGCCGTCTCAATCCATATGTACAATATTGCCGTCTCAATCCATATGTACAATATTGCCGTCTCAATCCATATGTACAATATTGCCGTCTCAATCCATATGTACAATATTGCCGTCTCAATCCATATGTACAATATTGCTGTACAATATTGCCATCTCAATCCATATGTACAATATTGCCATCTCAATCGTCGTCGTAATAATATCGCATACGGGTATACCGGCTCAGGAGTAGAACTCCCATTAGCCAGGCAGGCCTCGACGTAGTGAACTCCGACTAGCTGGCTTTGTGTAGGCTGAAACAGAACACGAAGATACCGGTTTGAGCGCTACGTGTTGGTCACTAACATGCCGTCTCAAGCATCGTGATTAAAGTGACCAAAGACACTGACCTAGACTCAGTCGTCTCTTATGGCAGTGGCGGGGGGTTACGGGCCCAAATTGGGTGAAAACGTTTGGAGGGTGACACCAAATCGAAATTTTTAAAAATGTATTGTTTAAACAAAAGTTTGAACTAGCTATCATAATGAAATAACAGGAGAGAGGGATGACACCAAATCCAAAATGCAATGATGTTGGTTAAGTGGTGGGGGTGACGCCCTGAGTCTCAGCATCATCTGACACCCAACCTGGTGACGCCACTGTACACACTGAACAACAACTTATTTAAAGGTATAGTTGCAGATTGCTTGAATTAGAACAACCAATTTCAGACACGCAACAAAACAAACTTTAAATTTGGGCACTAGATAGCTCAAGTGCTGTCGAAATCAGAAATATTACATTTAAGGTTTACAAACGGATCAGCTTGACCGATCTTTTTTAACTATTAAAGTGATATAAGTAAAGTAAAGAATCCTCTTTAGACCTAGAGATCCCGATCTATTGGGAAGATGAAGTAGAATTCATGTTTCATAATTATGTTCTTCTGAGGTCAAGACAACATATGAACTCTACTTCTGCTTTTTTACCTTGGAAGATTCATCCAAAGGTGAAGTGGATTTACTTGCTTCTTTGGGATGACTGGTCAGCATTTATAGTCGGCAATTCAAGTCAGGTACACATTCCACGTGTGAACTAGAGCCATAGATAACAGCGATTCTGTGTTCTATTGCTTGACCATTCCATCACGTTGTAATCGTTGCAAATATATATTTTTCCCAGAATTATTGCCTTAATTACATACAAGGATAAAAAATATAATTGAAATGGAGATTTAGTTTAAGTTTGAATGAATAACTGGATAAGTTACTTTGTTTATATTTTTAAATATTTTCACTGGATGTGATTATTTTAAACAAATTCCTTCTGTCACTTGTCAATAATAAAATAAGCAGTTGACAATAGATGTATTTTATTTGTATGTGATTGAAATGTTTCTATTTCTTTAATACAGTTACTAAAACTGAAGTATTATAATCATGACATTTAACTAGAAAGAAATGTTTATTAGTTCTGTGTTTACAATCCTTGCCTATACCAGTATTTTTTATTTCTGTTAACCTATGACCTAATGGCCAAAATGTTTTCAATAATTGTATACACTAAAATTAAGAATTAAAATCAATAAACAAAAACTAATTTAACATGAAAATATAAAGACAATCGAGTTTTTCATTCTCATATGTGTATTGACTAAATTAGTTATTAAATTGTAAAGGAATTAATTTGAGATAGTAATTGTATCTTTCTGGGAACCATTATATTTTATGTACTTGCATCTGATATTGTTATTCTTAATCACTCTAACAAATTGCAGTCTCGAATACAACCTTCATTAGAGTACACATTTTTTTTTCATATATTTTGTTGATAGTCTTGGTTAAGAAGTTTTTTCTGAAGTTGTGTATGGTACCTTCTTCTCTCTAGCTGCACTGGCTTAATTCAGGAACTCTGAAAAAAATTTGATGGACACACAATTTTTAACACCACAATTTTCTATTAATAAATAAATCTAATTGTTACTAAAAATTTTTAGCCAGTAACATTGATGTGACCTGACACCAATTGTATTAAAAATTAACTGTTACCATACTGACTCTCACCATTTTATTAATCTTTTATTCAGTATTATTTCAATCTTGTATAGTATTATCTAGATTTATATTAAAAATATAAGGCATATATTTATAGAAGTTAATAAGGCTTATGGTATTTAGAGTCCCTAGTCTTAGACTACTTAAATGAGCCAATGAGTCTACAAGTCTAATACATGATCGAGTTTTATACTAGTCTACTAACTACTAGAAGTACTTGCAAGTAGACTACTTCTTCACTAAACGTACAATCTACTTCTTAGATCTGGATTTATTAGTATTAGTAGCTATTAGATCTGGAATCACTAGATCAACTTGCAACATAACTCAAAAATGTTTTTTGTGTATCTGAATTCTAGATGTAGATCTAGTAGTTAGAATCTAAGTACTATAATCTAGTGTAGAGATATACACTAACTAGGGGTCATCCATAAATGCCGTAACGTTTTTTTAACGAGTTTTACCTCCCTCCTCACTCCGTAACACATCGTCACAAAATAGCAGACCCCCCCCCCCCCGCCCAAAAAAAAGTTGCGCCACATCTCAGCCTACAACCCCCCCCCCTCAAAATTGCAGAGGAATTTTTCTTCAAACAGCGGTAAATTTTAACAATCTTGTCTGAACTCAGTCAACATAAAGTATTTTAATCAATTCGTATTACAATTTATCAAAACAGTTTTCTAAAACGCGAAATAACGGCTAAAATTAGTTTTCTAACAATGCTTTTTTTATAATGCAAACGTGTGATATCTGAACCCCCCCCACCCCCTCCACCTTATCACACACCGTCACAAAATTACGGACCCCCCCCCCCCCCTTCAAGTCTGACGTCATTTATTGACGACCCCTTACTGGAGTCTAGTACTAGATCTAGAAATCTAGATCTGCTAGTGCGAGTGAAACAAGCAAAAATTGCGGATAAAATTAAAGTACTTTTTAACTCTAATTAGCCATCCGATGTGGTTCGCCGCCCCCCCCCCCCCCCATGCCCCCGTCTCGAGACGCCTCTGAGTATTATTAAGGTATTCCTGTTCTATAAGTGAGGTATTAGTACTACATTTAGAATAATTTAAATCTCGGTCTAGATCTCAAGTCTAAGGAGATTTAGATCTAGTTGAAAGTTTCAGTTTTTACTTAGATATCTAGATTTAGATCTATTTCTAGAATCTTGATTTAGCAGCCAAGTCAGTTTAGTAGAGTTACGTCCCCTAACATTTCTTGCGCTAACTGTAAACAAAATAATAAATCCATATAGATCTACGAACCGCCACAAAACTTTTACATTCAAATCATTATTTTTGTGCTCCTATCCATATGAACAAAATAGCGCTTCGTTCTTAATTTTTAGTGTTGGAGGGGATTCTTATCTGCCAGAGTGTTTGAACTCGAGCCTTTTTCGAATTTTTCAACCAATAGCTCGAGCACGCCTCCATCACAATTAAGGATACGCGTCAAGTGGTTTTGCGCCATTGAGGCCATTGACTCCGATTTCAGCCTGCTTTTCTTTTTGGATTTGCTTCTATAGCCTTTGTCCAACCAAGAACAAGCTACAAGGCAGCAGTTGTTTGGTTTTGGAGTTGTCTCTCCAAGTAGAGTGGCTGTCCACAGCTAACGAGCCTCATCTGCCCGAGGGTCCGAACTCGAGACCCCTTTTATTTTGGAATTGTTGCATTTTGAATTTTTGATCAGTGTTTCTTCCAAACTTTTCTCTCGGGGGGGGGGGGGGGGTGGACACTGTAAAAAGTATATATTTTCTATATAAATTCCATATCGTTCGAGGGGGGGGGGGGAATTGCGAAGAGATGCCTGGGAGAACTCTGCTTTTGATGATTTTTAAAACCTTGAAGCGGGACCTAATAACAAATAGCCGCCATGTTTTTTTGTTGATAGGGGATGTTATATTATTTGAGACAAGTTCATTTAGCTTATAGATTTCTACATCTAGATCTAGACGTTGGCCTAGACTCTATAATATGCATTTAATAGACTTTTGCCGGACTATATAATTATTTTCTAAAAAATACAATCAAATTAAGAATCGAGAGGCCTAATAGATCTATATTAATATTATAACTGCATTTAGGGCAACCAGAGCTTCTTCCAGGCATCTCTTCGGGGGGCGGGGGGGGGGGGGGGGGGGCTCTATTCCCCCGAAGAAAGTCGAAGAAAGTCTACCCCCCCCCTCCGGAGAAAAAAGTCTGGAAGAAACACTGCGGGCAACTAAATAGGCTAATAACAAGCTGTACTGTTGTTTAAAAAAATTAACACTTTAACGTAGGGCCTAGGCTTTATTTTTCTTCAAGCTGCCCTACATTTTATATTCTAGCACTATCATTGTTTACGATTTTAAATAACAATAGTGAAAGCAACTTCACTACTTTTTTAAAGCGATTTAATCCAAATATTAACATTTGGTTACGAAAGAAAAACGCTAGCTGGCAAGTACCAAAACGAGAACTTGGTAGGCTTAACCAAAGCCGACCTCAAACTATAGGAAATAAACCGGGAGTGATCTCCCCTAAACTTTCTCGAATATTCTTATATAAAACAACAGAGGATGGGAACTCGGGATATAGTTATGATTTTTAATCCATTTTAAATACATAAACTTTTTAAAATAAAATAGAATCTCATAGAAAAAAGTATTGCACACCAAGTGAACGCGGAATAAAGATGTTCATAATGGTGCGCAATATTATTAGTACTTTTAAAATTTACATTAGTTTTTTGAGAAATCGGAAGTAGCGTAAATTACTACTTCCAGTCAACGGAAATTACTCAAAATTTAACAGAAGGTAGAGAATTAGATCTTTTACTTACATGTGAAATTTCATTTATCTATCTGAAATAGTACTCAAGTTATAGGCTTTTAAAAAATTCAAAGTAGGAAAAGTACCACTTCCGGTTATCGGAAATCGCTCAAAAGTTGATACGGATCTACGATTTTGATAAAATACTTATATATGAAATTTCATCAACCTAGCTGTAACGGTACTCAAGTTATCGTGTTTACACACGGACAGACACACACACACACAGACATACGGACAAGATTGCAAAATTATGTTTTTCCGTATCAGTGAGGTGTAAAACGTCGAGATTTGTAAAAATCTCGATTTTTTTTTTTGCACGATTACAATACTTTCTCTATACTACGTATATACGAGAAAGTAAAAATGTAATTTTCTAGCTGAGTGTTGCGCACCGATCTATATTTATTTAAGATCTTATTTTTGTTGCACTATGAAGCACTTTTCTTGAATGTTCGCATTGCAAACGAATGATTACTTCCGTTCTTAACGTGTGAGACACGAGGTGAAATATTATAACTGAACCCAACATAATTAGAAGTCTATTATTATCTGATTAATAAACAGTTTGAAAATTTATATTAAGTCTACAACTTCTTGAGTTAGGGCCTGGGTTAAAGGTGAGACATTGAACCATGGTTTATTATTGGTATAGGCAGTGTCGTAGCGAGGTCGGGTGTCACCCGGTGCGGCACTTAATGGTGTCACCCCCCCCCCCCCCAGAGGCATAGAGACCCTTCCCAGGGACAAACTTTCAAATTTTCGATTTGCACCCCTCCCCCTCAAACTTTCGATTTGCACCCACCCTCAAGTTTTCGATTTACACCCCCCCCCCTCAAGGTTTCGATTTGCACCCCCCCCCCTTCAAACTTTCGATTTGCGCACCCCCCCCTCGAGTTTTTCTCTATATATTTTGCTATTTTTTGCCTTGGTGTCACCCCCCTAAATGGTGTCACCCGGTGCGGTCCGCACCCCCCGCCCCCCCCCCTCGCTACGCCCCTGGGTATAGCTAATAAGGGCCTAATCTACAGATGTGGCAGATCTAGTCTAGTCTAGCTACTGCTAGATTCTAGATCTAGATCTAGGAATTTCGGACCCCTATGCAAAAAATAGCATTGGGCATTTTCGGTTCGTCAACTAACGCATCTAATCTAGATTTAGATCTAGAGTCTAGATCTATAAGATTCTAGATCTAGATTAGGTAGATTTAGATTTAACATGATAGATCTATTCTAGATCTAGATCTAGTTAGATTCTAGATCTCCTAGTACTAGACTAGTAGATCAGTAGCGTAGCGAGGGGGGGCGGGGGGGGGGGGACATATGTCCCCGGGCGCCGAGCTTAGGGGGCGCTAAAATGGGTTAGAAAAATAAATTGAAAGGTTAAGGGGGGTGCAAATTGAAAGTTTGAGGGGGGGGGGGTGCAAATTGAAAGTTTGGGGGGGGGGGGTGCAAATCGAAAAGTTTGTCCCCGGGCGCCGGGAAGGGTCGCTACGCCTCTGAGTAGATCTATTACATGTGAATTTTAAATAATGATTTTCACACGTCCTGATCAGTCTAGTCTAGCTACACTGCTACACACACTTAGATCTAAATAGAATCTAGATCTAGCTAGGATTTAGATCTAGATTCTAGATTCTATTCTAGATGTAGAATCTCATCTGTTACTGTAACTGTACTCAACTGTACTGTATTTTAATTTATAATAATATATAAAAGTAAAGTTCCCTTTTCAAACGTGCTGGTCTATCACTCTTAGCTTAGGCTAACTCTTAGTCTTAGGCCTAACTATTTTAATTTATCTATCTAGTTTTAATTTTTTAAGAGGGAAAAGGGCCCCAAAGCTGTACTGTGCTTTCTCAGTGTTTCTTCCAGACTTTTTTCTCCGGGGGGGGGGGGCACTTGAAATCTTCGGGGGGGGGGGGGCGGTAAACTTTCTTTGGGGGGGGGGGGGCGGACACTGTTAAAAGTATATATTTTCTATATAAATTATATAAATTTCATTTCGTTCGGGGGGGGGGGGGGGGGGGGGGGGGTAAAAAATTTTCGTGGGGGCTTTGCCCCCCCGAAGAGATGTCTGGAAGAAACTCTGTGCTTTCTCTAGCTGCTAGCTTTACGCCACATTACGGTAGATATGCCCCTGGCCCAGACTCGCCTAGAGTCAAGTTGTCTAGTGGTAAAGGAAACCCTAGAGCTATGGCTTATTGTATAGGTAGGGCCTAGATTTAGTGTTAGAGTGAAGGTAAGGTCTAGGGTAAGTGTAAAGTAAGCCTTTGGCTATTAACGTTAGGATAGAGGTAAGATAAGAGCTAGGAAAAGGTAAGCTTTCAATTTGAGATGACTCCTGGAGCTAAAGTAAAAGTAATATCTAAAAAGTTGGGTCTGGCTAAATAAAACTACACCGTGGCTATTGTGTTAATTTAAATTTAAGTTTTTTTTTATGTTGATAGTATTTAACACCTCATTTTGTGTGATATTACGAATATGATATGCAGATCTATGTACTATTGCTTGAGGAGGGGTGAGGAAATAAAAAAACCAAAGTAAATCAAGCTATCAGAGCTACTTTATTAGCTGCCCGGTAAGCCATGTTTGATGCTTACCAGAACCGCAGTGAAGTATTTAAAACAAAATACTTAGCTAATAGAATTTAACTATGATGGGTATTGTGTGCTAATTATTTTTGACCATCAAAAACAAGTAGCTTTTTAGCGCCAGATGTGATTGTTGGGTTAAAACTATTTTGAATAATTTATTCAAATGTGAACATTGAATAACCAAATAAGTTCTTAGAACAGTTGGTTTCTAAAAACTGAATTTTACAGTTATTAGACATTTTTCTAAAATTTATCTTTCAGATTGTTAAACAATGAACAGGCAAGAAGTATGTCTCCAGATTGTCCAGGGTCTGGAGAATGTGTGGAACGAGAACATTTTATTTGACTTTGCAGTGAGAGTTCAGGATAAAACCATCGAATGCCATCGTCTCGTCCTAGCGGCGTGTTCAGAATTTTTCAGGGCGCTGTTCAGGTCTGGGATGAAAGAAGTCACAGAAAACTGTGTAGTGCTTGAAGATGTGTCATGCCAAGTTTTCCGCTTAATTTTGGATTTCATATACAAAGGAATAAACACGATTTCTCCAGATAATTTTATTGAAGTTTGGAGAGCAGCACATATGCTACAGTTTAACTTCCTTGTGAGTTTTTGTGAGGAGTTTTCTATTGGAGCATGCTCCCTTGACACCTGGGAAAACATTTATACAAATGCAAAACTTTTTGGTTCGGAAAAAGTTCTCAATCACCTCCATACATTTATGTTAAAGAACTTTGAACAGATTAGTCTTTCATCAACATTTCTTCAACTTTCTTTCAATGAACTCGAAAATTTGTTAAAAAGCCAAGACCTTGGTGTTACCACAGAAGATTTAGTTCTTCAATCAGTGATCAAGTGGATTGAATATGTATCTCCTAGTCAGATAAACGAGTGTTTGAATGATAATCTGGATTTATCAATTAGCAATAATGATTTGAAGACTCAATCTACTTTACCAAGTCAAGATGAAAATGAATTTGAAGAAAAGGCTACTTATCTTAATGATGATACAAGAAAAGATGTAGAAGTTTTCACTTCTGCTAAAAGAGATTTCAATGACATGTTTACTGATTTATCAAAGGCTTCTATGCAAACAGTGTACATGTCTAGAAAAGACAAACTGACAGAACTGTTGAAGCTAGTGAGGACACATCTGGTTTCTCCTGCTCTCTTATCTGAAGTCCTAAAGATGGAATTAGTTTTGGAAAATGAGGATTCTAAAAAAATATTGGTCGACGCTGTGTCATATCATACCAATGATTTTAGACATGGTCAGTGGCCATCAGCGGCTATCCACAGATCTAGTAGTGAGTACATACATGCTGGGGTGTTTGCTGTTTGTCCCGGACTTTTAGCATGTGTAGGCGCCTGCTCAGAAGAACCAGTTGATGTTGTAAGATGTGAAAATATAGCCTGTAAGCAACTCGTCACTTTTGACAATGAGCTCTATGCTACAGGAATACACAACAACCAACCCAATGGATCTTGTCAAATGTTTCTTCTTCGTGACAAAGATTGCAGAGAAATTATTGAAATGCCAAGTCAGAATGTGTTACTAATAGCATTCGGAGACTTTATCTATGTCGTAAATAAAGATGATGGATTTATATACAATATAAATCCCAAAGATAGAAACCCGAGTTTAGATAAGTTAACACAGTTTCCAGAAAATATCGATGTTAAACATGCTTCGATTGTAGAAAATTTTCTTCTTTTATTTTGTTCAGAAATGGAGAACGGCAATGACGAGACAGCCATTCATAAAATGGATTTTTCGTCCCAAGTGTGGACTAAAATTAACAACCTAGAAGGACCAGCAGAACAACTCATTAGTTTCAGGAATGACAACTTTAATTATATATTACAGACAAACGGAAGTTTATGGCTTGTACCAAAAGCATCTAACAATGGAAACATCGAGTTTACATTTCTTGCTAAGCTCTGGAATTTCCAAAAGAGTTTGTATGGTGCGTTAACGTTTTATAAAAAACTAATCATCATGGATGACAAATCCCAGGGTGGTCCTCCTGATGAGAGCTGTAGACAAGACGTACCTGGCCACTTTGATTCAATTTCTTTCTGGGGAAGATTTGGCATTCGTTCAAATTTTGTTCCAATCACTAAACTAAAACCAACTGACTTGGACTAAAATATTTGAACAAGTGAACTTTTAAACTTGTCATTGTTGGAAATTTAAGTTTTTCTGTATGATTTTAAAATTTGTTACCTGTTGATATTTTCTCAACAATTTTTGACCGATGCTGTGTTGTGTTAAAACTGACTTGGACTAAAATACTTGAACCAGTGAACTTTTAAACTTGTCATTGTTGGAAATTTAATTTTTTCTGTATGATTTTAAAATTTGTTTCCTGTTGACATTTTCTCAACAATTTTTGACCGATGATGCTACCCTTAAATTACGCGGTCTAAATATTATTTGTTACTTGAGTTGTGGATTATAAACTTTTATTCAAATAATAATGTTTTTGTTTTCTGTAGCGTGGTTGATTTGTATGATTGAAATGGTTTACTTTTTAATGTCTGATGACAAGAGCTTACATTCCTAATCACTGTTAATGAGTATACTAGATTATAAAGGTTGCTATTTTTATTTCTATTTTAGAGCTTTGAAAAATACTTTAAATGTTTAAACTGTAGACAAGTAATGAGTTTCCATAGGATTAATCCTTGTTATACATTAATCTTATTTTGAACATATGTTTACATAGACATATTGTTATAATCTGCTTTAAATTTAAAGAATGCTGCTGACACTAATGTTTAAATTATTTTTTACTAGTAGTTTCCTTCCTAATCAGCTCTAGTTTTCATGTGGCTTTGAGGGTGAACCCCATAGTGCTTGCAATACAATTTGTTCTATGAAGACTGCCTGAAATTACCCGATCTCGTTATGGTATGATTATGAGACAATGCAATAATTCACAATCATACATATTCTTTGGATAAATATAACAAATCAGTGTTTAGGTGTTAGATTAAGATTGTTATCAGAATGGTGTTAATAATTAAACATCACAGCGATACTAGGATAATTCCAATACATAAGATGGCGTGGTCGAATGGTAGAGCTACGACTGCTGGTCAGGAACGGCGTGGCCTCAACCAACCAGCGGGCTTGTTCCATTGAGTTAATTATACTCAAAACAATAATATAAACTATGTCATTTAAATAGGTCAGGTCACGTACCACGCACACTTAATAGTATTGTGTGTCGTGCCTTAACAAAAATAAGCAAATAAAAAGATAAGGTTAAGTATATGGATTGTTGTACTAGATGTTTTACTGTAGTAAACTAGAACTCATTGTAGATTGACATCATCGAGCGGTTGAAAGCCATAGATCTACGTTGTGATGTTTAGTAAGCATTTTTTTTACATCACCTATTTCCTAGCCTAGGGCGTAAAGCAGTAAACACCATCAAATCAGCTGCAGCACTTCATTATTCATATGTTGTACCGCTCCGACGACACGTCTTCACTCTAGACACATTGACAGACAACCTCACTATTTACAACACAGCCATACAGTACACAGAAACTACACATTCAAGGAACATAGCTATATATATGTATATAATACAAGGGGCGAAACAATAACTAACAAGAAATAATGTAACAATTATAAAATGTATCTTTATGGGGCTAACAGAGCTTAGTAATCTACATTTTTAGAATATAAATGTGAATGTCATATATATATATATATATATATATATATATATATATATATATATATATATATATATATATATATATATATATATAGATCCACTTTAGACCTACCGATCAATTGGACAGATGGAGAGTTTTCTTGACCTCGGCATATGTAAGGATCGTGCGGTAAGCACTATTGTTCAGCCGTCTTTAATCAGGACTCATCAGAACTGGGTGGACTCAGGGACGTCATACATTCACAATTCTGAACCGAGATCCGAACTCTAGAGCTTGGGACTACAACCAAACATTTCCCCCCTGTCAATTACCCCCCGGATATTTCCCCCCCGACATTACCCCAGAGTAATTACCCCCCTGTCAATTACCCCCCTGTCAATTACCCCCCGCCCAGTAGGACATTACCCCCCCCCCCGGACAGGGTTAGAGTTAGGGTTAGGGCTAGGTTTAGGGTTAGGTTTAGGGCTAGGGTTAGGGTTAGGGTTAGGGTTAGGGTTAGGGTTAGGGTAAGGTTTAAGGGCTAGGGTTAGGGTTAGGGTTAGGGTTAGGGTTAGGGCTAGGGCTAGGGTTAGGGTTAGGGTTAGGGTTAGGGTTAGGTTTTAGGGCTAGGGTTAGGGTTAGGGTTAGGGTTAGGGTTAGGGCTAGGGTTAGGGTTAGGGTTAGGTTTTAGGGCTAGGGTTAGGGTTAAGGTTAATGTTAGGGTTAGGGTAAGGGTAAGGGTTAGGGTTAGGGTTAGGGTTAGGGTTAGGGTTAGGGTTAGGGTTAGGTTTTAGGGTTAGGGTTAGGGTTAGGTTTTAGGGCTAGGGCTAGGGTTAGGGTTAGGGCTACGGCTAGGGCTAGTGCTAGGGCTAGGGCTAGGGTTAGGGTTAGGGTTAGGGTTAGGTTTACGGTTAGGGTTAGGGTTAGGGTTACGGTTAGGGTTAGGGTTAGGGTTAGGGTTAGGGTTAGGGTTAGGGTTAGGGCTAGGTTTAGGGTTAGGGTTAGGGTTGTGTCTAGCTTTGGTTTTGGTTTTGTGTGAAGTTTTAGGCTAAGGTGGATGCTTAGGTTTTGGCCTTTTTCTTAAGGTTTGGATTAAAGTAGTATATAGGTATAAAATTCTACTTAGAGTTAGGATTTTAACTTGAGGGGGGGGGGGGGTAATTCCCCGGTGGGGTAATTGATAGGGGGGAAATTGACAGGGGGGTAATTGCTCCGGGGGGTAAATACGGGGGGGGGGAATGTCCGGGGGGGGGAAATATCCAGGGGGGTAATGTCCTGTAGCCAACCAAACAGCACTCGACCAGCGTTTCTTTCAGATTTTTTTCTCCCGGGGGGGGGGGGGACTTGAAATTTTCGAGGGGGGCGGACACTGTTAAATGTATATGTTTTCTATATAAATTCCATTTCGTTCGGGGGGGGGGGGGGGGCTGTAGACTTTCTTCGTGGGGGCTCCAGAGATGCATGGAAGAAACTCTGTACTCGACCACTGCGTCCATTATCCAGCCATTTAAATAATACATTTATATTCTCTTGACTGAAAAGTTTTGCGCACCGTATTTTTGTTTAAATAGTTTTTTCGTGTTGCACTATGAATCACATTTTGTTTAGGACACGAATGTTTACTACGGACCCTTCTAGTTTTAGCAAACAGTCAAGTGTCCAGCATATTAGATGAGTCTTGTAAACAACACTAGTTAAAACAATCCATACCGATAGGTTAAAGGTGAGGGGCTCGCTGTAATTCCACTGTAATGTGTTTGTAATTGACATTGGCCCAGACGGAGGAGATGAACTAAATAAGTTTTGTTGACATGGATCAAATTTAAATGTTCTAAGAATCATTACATAAAAACAAGTATTACATTAAAACTGAAGCTAAAAATATTAAAATTAAAGATTGAAATAAGTTTTGAAAAATTATTGGTTGAGGCTACATTTACAAACCAACACGACATCGTAGCCTGATGTATCGATTTTATAACTCTTACTTCGATTGGCTATTATTTGATAAAGGCTAACTGAAGTTATTGTAATGGTTCTATTTCTTCTGCTTAACGTTTATTTACAATATTTGACGTCAGTTTGACATAGTTAAATTATCACACGCACAAGAAATAAACAAATTTGTATTTCTGAAATATTGGTTAGCCATTTTAAAGAATAACAAAAAAAAAAGACATAATCAAGTTTTTATAATCACACGTTGTGAAAACGCGACAAACATGCGATTGGTCCCTTTGAGAGTCTATTAAACACAGCCAAGACAAGAAGACTGAGATGGTGAGGGCATGTCACACGAACCAAAGGCGTATCCAAAACAATAATACAAGGCACTGTGCCAGGAGGAAGAAGAAGGCAAAGACGTTATTTGATGGAGGACATCAAAGATTTGAACTGGGCTGTCTGCTGCAGAATTACAAATGGCATCAATAGGGTTACGGGAAGATCGCTCGATTAATTGATTTTTTTTCAAATGGGCACATGTTTGTAGTGTAAGCTTTAAAAATATTTTTTTTTTAAATGTAAACGACTAACACGATTTATACATACCAGTACCTTTTCTAAAATTTTTTTTTTTCAGAATTGAATACACGATGAACAGACAAGAAGTTTGTGTAGAGATCGTAAAGTGCATGGAGAATGTGTGGAGTGAGAACATTTTATATGACTTCATTGTCAAGGTTCAGGATGAAACCATCCAATGTCATCGCTTCCTCCTAGCTGCGTGTTCCGAATTCTTCAAGGCGCTGTTTAGATCTGGCATGAAAGAAGTCACAGAAAACTGTGTGGTGTTGAAAGATGTTTCATGTGAAGTTTTTCGCTTGATTTTAAATTCTATATACACTGGAGCAAGTCTGTTAACGTTAGAGAATTTTATTGAAGTTTGGCATGCAGTACATATGCTTCAGATCAACTTTCTCGTGAATGTTTGTGAGGAGTTTGCTATTGGAGCAATTACCATGGACACATGGGTAAATATTTACGAAACTGCCAAACTTTTGGGTTCAGAAAAAACACTCGAGCATCTCAAAAAATTTATGTTAATTAATTTTGAAAAAATTAACATTTCACCAACGTTTCTTCAAATGTCTTTCAACGAAGTTCAGGATTTGATTAAAAGCCAAGACCTCGTTGTCTGCAAAGAAGACGTGGTTCTTGATTCAGTGATAAGGTGGGTTGAGTATGTTCCTGGGAAAAAAGTACATCAGTATGTAATCGATAATTTTAAGTTAACAAACGCTAATAATGTTTTGAAAGCTGAAAGTATAGCTGATAACGAAAAGAAAGAAAGAGCTAATGATGACAATATGAATGAAGTAATCGATACTTCCGAAACTACCAGAAATGAAATTGACCTTGACCAATCGATTAATTGTTTAACAATTGTGGATTCCCCTAGAAAAGAAAAGTTCACCGAATTGTTAATGCAAGTCAAGACGTGTCTTGTAAGCCCTGCTGTTTTATCTCGAGTCCTAAAGACGAAACTGTTGTCGGAAAATGAAGATTCAAGAGAAATAATTGTCGACGCTATGTCCCATCATACCAGTAGCTTTAGACATGGCCAGTGGCCATCGGCCGCCATACACAGATCGTGTAGTGGGTTCACAAATGCTGAAATCCATGCCTATGGTGGTGGGTATTTTGCAGTAATAACAGCATGCAATGAAGAACTGTTCTTTATTACAAGATGTAAAGATTTAGAAGAGAACATTCAGCTGGTCACTTTTGACGGTGAACTTTATGCTACAGGAAAACAACACAACCAACCAAACGGACCTTGTCGAATGTTTGTGTTCTGTGACAACACCTGGCAGGAAATGATGGAAATGCCAGGTGACAATTTGTTATTAGTGTCACATGGAGACTTTATCTACATCTTAAACAAACACGATGGACTAATTTACAAAATAAATCCGAAAAAGAGAAACCCTAATTTAGAACAATTAACCGTTTTTCCGGAGAATGTCGATCTTCAACATGCTATGATTATTCAGGATTTTCTTTTATTATTTTGCTGTGAGAGTTACAATAATCTTGAGGAGACGGCTGTGCATGCATTTGACCTTTCGTCCAAAATTTGGTCCAGATTAGACAATCTAGACGGACCAGCAGAAGACTTGATAAGCTTTAGGAACGACAAGTACACCTACATTTTACAGACCAATGGTTGTGTGTGGCTGGTTTTACAATCTCCATTCGATACAAACATTGCATTTGTTTTTCTGACCAAGCTTTGGAATTGTGAAAAGTTCCTCTACGGTGCGATCACTTTCAAAGATAAACTTATCATTTTGGGTCAACGTCCGGAGAACGATCCAGTTGGAACGACCAACGCTACCGAAATTCCCGACCATTTTACATCCGTTCGTCACTGGGGTATCGACGATAGTTCAAATTTTGTTCCCATCACTATAGCGAAAAATGTTTTGATTCCGTTCAATACAGTTTAGGTTACTTATACTATTGTAAACGTCGGGCTATGTTCGACTTGCATGTTTATATGTGATTGTGTGATAGCTGACTGCATATATCAACATTTATTTATGACACCATATTATTATATTCAATCAAATTTCAAGACGCGCTAATTTAATGATTGAATTGAAAATTAGTTATACATTTTGATTTTTTATAGGTTATTAGATATCAACAGAAACTGCATTCAACGCTTTGTCAGATTATTTAATAGTACTTAAACACGCTGGTGTTTCTTCTCAGTATTAATGCGCTAACTTTCAAAGGTAAACTTATGATTTTGAGTCAATAGCCGAAGAACCTGTATAGCATACATTAACGGGGTTTATATCTTTTAGCTGGGTCTATATCTATTAGGTGGGTCTATATCTATTAGCTGGGTCTAGTTAGCTGGGTCTGTATCTGATAACTGGGTCTGTATATGTTAGCTTGGTCTAGTTAGCTAGGTCTGTATCTGTTAGTTGGGTCTAGTTAGCTAGGTTTGTATCTGTTAGTTGGGTCTATATCTGTTAGCTGGGTCTATATCTGTTAGCTGGGTCTATATCTGTTAGCTGGGTCTATATCTGTTAGCCGGGTCTAGTTAGCTGGGTCTGTATCTGTTAGCTGGGTCTGTATCTGTTAGCTGGGTCTGTATCTGTTAGCTGGGTCTATATCTGTTAGCTGGGTCTATATCTGTTAGCTGGGTCTATATCTGTTAGCTGGGTCTATATCTGCTAGCTGGGTCTATATATGTTAGCTGGGTCTAGTTAGCTGGGTCTGTATCTGTTAGCTGGGTCTATATCTGTTAGCTGGGTCTATATCTGCTAGCTGGGTCTATATATGTTAGCTGGGTCTATATCTATTAGGTGGGTCTAGTTAGCCGGGTCTAGTTAGCTGGGTCTATATCTGTTAGCTGGGTCTGTATCTGTTAGCTGGGTCTATATCTGTTAGCTGGGTCTATATCTGCTAGCTGGGTCTATATCTGTTAGCTGGGTCTATATCTGTTAGCTGGGTCTAGTTAGCTGGGTCTGTATCTGTTAGCTGGGTCTAGTTAGCTGGGTCTATATCTGTTAGCTGGGTCTGTATCTGTTAGCTGGGTCTATATCTGTTAGCTGGGTCTGTATCTGTTAGCTGGGTCTATATCTGTTAGCTGGGTCTGTATCTGTTAGCTGGGTCTGTATCTGTTAGCTGGGTCTAGTTAGCTGGGTCTAGTTAGCTGGGTCTATATCTGTTAGCTGGGTCTGTATCTGTTAGCTGGGTCTATATCTGTTAGCTGGGTCTATATCTGCTAGCTGGGTCTATATCTGTTAGCTGGGTCTATATCTGTTAGCTGGGTCTAGTTAGCTGGGTCTGTATCTGTTAGCTGGGTCTAGTTAGCTGGGTCTATATCTGTTAGCTGGGTCTGTATCTGTTAGCTGGGTCTATATCTGTTAGCTGGGTCTGTATCTGTTAGCTGGGTCTATATCTGTTAGCTGGGTCTGTATCTGTTAGCTGGGTCTGTATCTGTTAGCTGGGTCTAGTTAGCTGGGTCTAGTTAGCTGGGTCTATATTTGTTAGGTGGGTCTATATTAGTTAGCTGGGTCTAGTTAGCTGGGTCTAGTTAGCTGGGTCTAGTTAGTTGGGTCTATATTAGTTAGCTGGGTCTAGTTAGCTGGGTCTAGTTAGTTGGGTCTATATTTGTTAGGTGGGTCTAGTTAGCTGGGTCTAGTTAGTTGGGTCTATATTAGTTAGGTGGGTCTAGTTAGCTGGGTCTATATCTTTTAGCTGTGTCTATATATATTAGGTGGGTCTAGTTAGCTGGGTATAGTTAGCTAGGTTTGTATCTGTTAGTTGAATCTATATAGGTGGGTCTAGTTAGCCGGGTCTAGTTAGCTGGGTCTATATCTGTTAGCTGGGTCTATATCTGCTAGCTGGGTCTATATCTGTTAGCTGGGTCTAGTTAGCTGGGTCTGTATCTGTTAGTTGGGTCTATATCTGTTAGCTTGGTCTATATCTGCTAGGTTGGTCTATATGTTATTATTCAAAAATACAGGTACACCAAAGAGTTGGGAGGTGTATGCTTTTGTATTTGCTATGTGTTTCCTTACTTGACATTAACAAGACATGGGTCATGATAAATGTCGAATTTTATATATGCTAGTCACCAACGCCCCAGTCTAGAAGTATAAAGTCTTAGTACGGTACACGAATGTGTCTTTATAGATCAGAATGTCTATTAGAACATACGGCATAGCCCACATATTTCTGCCGTCTATTATAAATTTGCGAGATCAGCATTAATTTTTGTGTCTTATAGAAAATATACTGCTTTATTTTATAACCTCGTTTACAGTTTGATCTTTTATTCAAATTTTGATAATGCACCTAATAAGAACTGAATAAATGTTATATCTTACTATTAACATGTGTTGTTCGCCTGAAATTTGATATTATTATTACGCATGACAATGGGGCGGCGTGGTTGAATTGTAGAGCGTTTGGCTGCTAGCTCGAAGGTCTCGAGTTCGGATCTTTGTTTGGATCCGTGACTGTAGCACGTTCCTCAGTCCACCCATCTGATGGGTAACAGACTCACGTTTCGGAAAATCAAGGCGGCTGACCACACTTTCCCTTCATATGCCGAGGTAAAAAATATGAACTCTTCTTGATCTGCCCAATGGATCATTAGCTCTGAATATGAAAATAACTATATACATCCCTAAGACAAAGTGTGTGTGCATATATATATATATATATATATATATATATATATATATATATATATATATATATATATATATATATATATAATATTTATTTGTGTGTGTGCCTATAGTAGTTTAGCCTATTTCATTGCAAAACATATTCGTAATAAAATTACAAAATAAAAGAATTAGTGTGCAAACAAATTTAGGACCCAAATTATTCAGTTAAAAGAACTTTATAACCGTTTTTTATGCAACTCATTTCATGGTTGCCGAAATTCTTTAAAAAGTGAAACTAGAATTTTGGTGTTTTGTTTTTAAAGGTTTTCAGTGTTCGTTTTATCACATTGTCTTTTGGTATTTATTATATACAGGGTTTGGCGGTAAGGTATACCCCCATTCATCTTGGCTAGGTGTATATATATTATGAGAGTGGAGGTCAATATTTGCAAGATTATATTCAAAGACCGAAGCAAAACAAATGTAAGAACATTAAAAATCTATTTTGAAGCAAAGATCAAACCAATATTATCAAATATGCTTTATTTGACACGTGCATTTTATCATATGTGGGTTAAACGACACATTATTTTATGACACATGCATTATATGACACATATGTTTAAGGGCTTGGTAATAAAGAGACATGCCCAATCCCCCACCGTAAGCAACGAATCCAATCCATGTTATTCTATCCCAGCATGGCGCGGCATGTAAATTATTCAATGATTTATTCTATACTTTGACATTCATTCCACAGGGAAAATCAATCGCATTCAATAAAATCTTGATTATACTTCTCTCAACAAACTTATAAATTATATAAAAACACTATTAATTTTTTTATAGCTTGGCACTTTTGAGAATTTATTTATACAACACACTCTAAAATTGCTTCAAGACGCATTCATTCCTCAGCGAAGTTCATGTCACTGAGTTTCATAAAATAAAATACACGTAACAATAACATGTTTTCATTGATAGTATTAAGCCATTTTATCTGAAACATGCGCATAGATTAAAATAACAAACATTATTGCGATAGTTTTGAAAACAACAATAATAAAACCGAAAGTAGGAGTGTTACAAAAAAAGTTGTTACTGTAACTAAATTAAGAGTTGTGCACATTTCGTCAACTCGAAAAAGTCCTTATCATGAAAATTGTAGACTCAGTTTCGTAATACTTGCTTTCCTATCATTAACCATAACAGTATTTAAGTGTAGTTTTCAAATAGCAAATGCGATCATCAAAGGCTTACATATTCATAAGTGTAATGTGTAAGCAGCGGAGTTATTTACAGCCATTTACACGTTATTTGACTTTTCTCAATTTTCGGAACGATTGTTTAACAAAAAAATATCTAATATGACCACAGCTGGGTAAATACTGTTGTTTTAATATTTCGAATTTAGATTGAAATCGATAAATATTGGTTTGGGTCGATAACGAAAAGCTATTCAATTTTAAGGCGACTGTATTAATACGTCTGCGATTAATGAATGTTTAATTAGTTTTTCGTTGTTGCTGGGATAAACAACATCATTTTTACGTGCGTCACATGGAATAGAAACATCATTTTTACGTGCGTAACATTGTCCAGAGAAATTGATAAATTGTCTTAAAGAAATTATTGTTGTGTTTCGTTTACAAAGTGCTGCTACACTTTTAGGCCATTGCGCAGCTTTAGAAATTCCCAAACTGCCTTTGTTTGTATAGTATATGCAGCTCAAACAGTGTTTCAAGAGAGAGAGAGAGAGAGAGAGAGAGAGAGAGAGAGAGAGAGAGAGAGAGAGAGAGAGAGAGAGAGAGAGAGAGAGAGAGAGTGGGGTCTACATACTCAGAAATACCAAGGATACAATTCTTTAATTAGAAAGAAACTGATCGTGATACAGCATTGAATACTGACTAATAAAATGAAGCGAAGTCAAATGTATACCGAATTCGTTCTTTTGGTGTTTGTGGGATTTGTCCCATATTTAAATCAAGCGGCCTACTGTGTTTCTTCACTCAACACCTGTGAAACTAAGTTTACCTTGATGTCAGATCTCACCCTGTTTAACTGTATACCCAAGCCTGTTATAACGATGCCCGACATCCAATGCGCCATCGGCTGCATGAACGACGTAAATTGTTCAGCGTTTACTGTTGCTCAAGATCTTTGCTCGCAATTTGACTGCAGGAAGGGGCGTCATGATCTAGTAGGGGTCAAGGGGTCATTCTTCTTGCCCAGAAGGCTAGTGGTGACCAGTATACCAGTTAGTCAAATAACCAATCGTGTTGAAAGTTATTTCCTCAGAATACCAGGGACTTTAATGTACGGAGATGTGGTAAGTATGTTTTACATACAGTTCTTTTTTGTTGAGAAAATTGTATTTAGAATTTAGAAGTAAAGGTATCAGAAATTGAAAATAAATTATAAATAATATTGGATACTTTAATTAATTGAATAATAGTTCAAAGCTTATAGTTAATTATGTTTTGTTTTAAAATGTATTATGGAGGGGTTTCAGCAATATTAGACATACAGTGTTTTCTTAACGAATACAGAGAACGTTTTGGAAAATACAATACATCTGTATCATTACCCAATGGCGTGTTTCATTTTTATTT